TAAACCACAATTTCTTTATCCATTCATCAGTTGATGGACATTTAGGCTCTTTCCATAATTTGGCTATTGTTGAGAGTGCTGCTATGAACATTGGGGTACAAGTGCCCCTATGCATCAGTACTCCTGTGTCCCTTGGATAAATTCCTAGCAGTGCTATTGCACTGTTGTTTGCATTATATTAATGGGAACTGAGGTTTCTTCCAACTAATGTTAAAAATAAAATAATCTGTCCCTCACATTTTCAATTGTGGTGGATGAATTCACTGATGAAGAACTTAAACATTTTTTAAAGGGTCATAAAATGAAGGTCTTTAGGAATTTTTGGAAAGCTCTTATAAATATTAACATATAATTTCTTTGTATGCTAAAGTAAAAAAGTATTAGAGAGTGAAAACAGTATTTTATACATCTTAAAGAGTTTGAAATTATATAGGTTTCATTTATCATTCTTTGGTCATTAGAATTTTCTCAGTAGCTCTTCTGTGAAGTGTCAGCAAAAATGTTTCCAAATTGGTATCATTTATTTTAGATGATATGTTTATGTGTGTGTCTATGAAGTGTGCCAGTATATTTGTGTGTGTTTGTGCTGTCTTCTATAAAAATATTTAAGCCTTTGAGCATATCTCTAAGGTATTGAGATCCAGGGTATGACTTAGGTGCTTTGTCTAAACTTTAATGCTCCCTAGTTACCCTGGGAAACCAACTGGCAACACTTCACCAGGCTTCCTGTGTGAACTGAGCAGTATGCCCAGTATCATGTTATCCCAGAACACATCAGAAGGTGGCAGAGCCTTGTGATCTGTTCTAGGGGCACCTATCACCCAAGATAGGCATCATACACCTTGAAGAGAAGTATTTTTAATTTTTTAAAAACATTTATTCATTTTTGAGAGAGACAGAGCATGAGTGGGGGAAGGGCAAAGAGAGAGGGAGACACAGAATCTGAAGCAGGCTCCAGGCTCTGAGCTGTCAGCATACACCCTGATGCAGGCCTTGAACTCATGGACCATGAGATCATGCCCTGAGATGAAATTGATCACTCAACCACCCAGGTGCCCCTGAACAGAACTATTTTTAGAGAAAGATACTGTTTTATTTTTATTTTGCAGTAATACATTTATTGTAGAAAATGTATATCATACACACAAGTTTTAAAAATTGTCATAATCTCACCATTCAGAGATAAATCCTCTTAATGATTTGGTGCATCTAGTTTCCCAGAATGTTTGTATGTAGATACACATGGATGAAAAAAGATACACAGCTTCTGCTCTGCCAAGATAGAGTAACAGGGATTTACCCTGAAGCTTGAGATATCCAAAAAGAAAATTAATGAAAATTCAAAAAACAAAACCCCAAGCAAAGCAAAACCAGATAATGGTAATAAGATACAGGGCATCAGACAAAAAAATTACAGTGTTTTTTGAGAATTGGGAAGCAAATGAGGTGAACCCTATCATTGCCCCAGTTCACTGCCTTGAGAGAGTTTCCAGGATGCAGTACAGAGAGGGAAAAACCCATGTGGAGCTCATCAGACTGCCCGAGTTCAGGAGACAGAACTGAGAGTCTGGAGAGACCAAGGTTAAGATGTCTTTTTTGGTGAATTCTCCAAATACTTAAGGAAGAGATAATGCTATAATACCAATTCTACATAAAGCTTCACAGTAAATTAAAGAGGAGAGAATGCTTTCCAACTCATTCTACAAGACCCTGACACCTAAAGTGGACAAAACCAATATAATAAAAGTATTAACAAATGTTTTATGAACATAGATTTTTGATTTTTAATTTTTAAACGTAATTTAAAAAAAATTATCATATCCAATTTAATAATATGTAAAATGGATAATATATCATAACCAAGTAGAATTTATCCTAAGACTGGAAGATTGGTATGATATTTGAAAAACCAATCAGTGTAATTTACTAACAAACTAAATGATAAAGTTCATATAAAAACTAAAATAATAACAAACTAAGTAATAAAGTTCATCTATTGAGATGCAGAAAAATATTTGGCAAAATCCAATATCCATTACTGCTTAAAAATCTCTCAATAAACTAGAAAATAAGAGAACTTCATAAGTGCAATAAAGAGCATTTCTGAAAACACTACAGATAGCATAATACTTAGATGTGAATGCCTCTTCCTTAGATCAGAAACACGACAAAGATGTCCATTCTCACCACTTCAATGTAATATCTTAGTGGGGGCTCTAGCTGATACAATAAGATAAGAAAAGAAATACAAACCATCCATATCAGAAAGGAAGAATTGAAAGTCTTTACTTACAGATGACACGACTGTCCATGTAGACAGTCTGAAAGAATCTGTAAAAAAGCTTCTAGAAATAATAAATTTGACAAGTGTGCAATAAAAGAACAATATAGAAAAATTAGTCGTTTTCTATATTCTAGCAGTATACAATTGGAAATTAGCATTGATATATAAAATACTTTAGGGTAAATCTGACCAAACATATGCAACACCTTTATACTGAAAACTATAAAATATTATAGAGTAATTAAAGATCTAATTAAATGGAAAGAGATACTTTGTTGATGGATCAGAAGACCCAATATTGTTAACATATCAATTCTTCCCAGATTGATCTACAGATTTATACAATCCCTATCAAAACCATAGCAGGTTTGTTGTTTTTGGTAGAAATTGACAGATTGATTCTAAAATTTATTTGGAAACTCAAGTGTCCAGAATGTCCAAAAATAACTCTTAATGGGAAGAACAAATTGGGAGGTCTAGTGCTACCTAATTCCAAGATTTATTATAAAGCTACAATAGTCAAGACAGTGTGGTATTAGCATCACTAAAAGTAAATAGGTAAATGGGACAAAGTAGAGTCTGGATATAGACCTCCACATAGATGAACAAATGATTTTTAACAAACAAAGGTGGAAAGCCAGTTCAGTGGGGAAAGAATTGTGTTTTTTTTTTTTTTTTTCACAAATGGTTCTGGAACAAATTGGACATTCATATGCAGGAAAAATGAACATCAATCCACACTTCCCAGTTTACCTAAAAACTAACTCATAAGTGGATCACAGACATAAATGTAAAAGCTAAAGCCTTAAAAGTTCAAATAGAAAATAGGTATAGAAATAGTTCAAGTAAGAGCATGGCTATTCCATTTCATTAGATTGTTTTTAGAACTTGGCTTTCAGTTTCTTTTATTTGTCTCTCCTTTTTTCTTCTTCTTATGACAACATATTAATGAATTAATGCAACAGCTTAGCTGTCCCTGGTGAGCATCACATTAGTATTAATGTAAAATCCTGAGCATGATGTCTTTCTTGGCACAAACTGAGTTAACTCTGCATCATTTTAAGCCTTCCTTTAGAGTCCTAAATCTGAATGCTCTGAATTAAACAGTAGAATGTGACCCTAGATGGGCTCTGAGTCCTGGGCCTCTACCAAGTCATATAGAAGGCTGAAGGGACAGTCTGTTAAACTAGTTCCACATTCCTCCATGACATGCTGGCATGCTGTTATAAATATCCAGAGTTTAAATATGACAGTAAGTGAGAAATGTCAGGTTTTCATAAAAATTCACAGAGGGCCATGGAGGTGAGCACCCTCTCTGCATTGAGGCTGAGCCTAGGCTTCTCACACAGCTTTGTGCCCAAGTGACATCCTTTGGGGAAATGGCTTTAGGGCTATCCTTGTTTTATGGAAGATGGAGTTCCTTGTCTTCTACTTAATGACTTTCCTTGAATTTTTGGGTTAAACTGTCTATCATAGGAAAGGTATCTAATGAATGTTCTCTTGTAGATAACCAAGTGTGGTTTTAATTTATTTTATAGTAGCTCAGAGATAAGAGAATACTTATTTGTATAGAGACACAAATGAACTTATTGCTCCAGGGATAGTGTCTTCAGCAGAGATTAATTTATTAAACCTCATTATCAATGATAGCACAGCCACACATTTGTGTGCACATTTATTCTGCATTATTTGGTTGTTTATGAACTGAACTAGGAAGAAAAAAGATTATAAAATAAAAATTAATTTTGAAATTAATTTTTAAAATATTAATGAAGAAAGTTAATACTCCATATGTAATTCAGAGGAGTTATAAAAAACAGTACTGGACTTTGGAACAGTAAAAGAAGTCACATAAGAAAATTCTTCCACATTCCCTGAGGATTAGGAAGAAGTTACAGGGAGTTATGAAGAAAGTTCTTCCAACATACCCTTCTGCACCCTGTTCACTCCTCCCAGATCTCTTAGGATGGTTCTTTGTTTGTGGGATTTCCAGTACTGAACAGGTAGGTGGGGAAGACTTCCAGGGTCCTTCTACACTGTAGTAGGACTTTCAATAATGCCTTGTTCCTTCATCTCCCAGTGGACTAACAGGGATGTAATCCTTTGCTGGTTACATTTACTCCTTTATGCTTGTTCTAGGGAGACTTATCAGTGTTGAACACAACTGTTTAACTATCTTTTAAATAACAGTTGAAAAATCTGTTTAGGGGAGCCATGTCCCCTGTGCTTCTGAATGACATCTCATAGGTCAGAGGAAGGCTTTCTCCATGGTGTCCCAGAGAAGTGTACACTGGGACATTCCTCAGGGCTTTCACACCATGCAGTATGCATGCTGGGGTGTTCTTTTGCTGCTCTTCCACCACCATTTTCTTCCAGTCTATCAGCTGACAACTTTGATGCTGTCACTCTCTGCTGTTTCCTGCTCTGCCTTTCCTATCACTTCCTCTTAGTTTCCTTTGTGGGTTTTCTGATTCCATATGGCTCTCCAATATCTGTGGGCCTTGGAGTTCTGATTTTTTTTAAATTTTTTTTTTTTTTTTTTTTTTTTTTTTTTTTTTTTTTTTTTTTTTACAATCTTTCCTCTTGGGTCAACATTCTGTAGTAGACCTCATGCCCTCTATGGTCTGCTTTGTCTTCTGTGTGTTGGGATGACCCATTTCTATGCCTTTTCCAGAGGTTTCTACCTTCCTCAGATCCATGTATATCATGACCTCTGCTCCACATACTCCATGTATCCTCATATTAAGGATGTACCACACCAGATCCCTCCTGTCATCACACCCACTCTATAGAGCTGGGGTCTTCTATTTATTGAGTATCCAGATATGATTCAATCTTAAAATTACACCATGATATTTATGAAAACATACAGCAAATTCAGCTAAGCCATTCTCCAACCAAATTGACTGTTTTGACTTTGTTCCAGAGTTAGCCTGAAAGCAAGACCCCTAGAAAATGATACTGGTGGGCCAAGAGTTACTCTGCCAGATGATACATATAGCCCCTTTGAATATATATAGTTTATGAAGCCGTGGATGTTCTAATATGATTCTAAGGGGGATCCTTTTTTCATAGTTTTACATGCCTCAAATTTTGACCACTTCCACTGTCAAAGGAGGACTTTGTGGAAAATTAATAAGAACATAGCTAAGTGGATCCCAAACCAAAACAGTACAAAACAAGACTAAAGGGGACAAAATAAAACCAGCACCTTGCAAGACAGGGCTGCATTTAAGCATTGTATTGATGGAAGTGTAATAGTGGGTGGTTTTGTTACTGAGAACATTAAGGAGAAGAGTGTAGGAAATTACAGAGGCACGTAAAGCAGCAGGTAGGCCCAGATACACGCACCTAATAAGCTTAGTGAAAATATTTGCATCCCGTGATATATTTCATCTGCCTGTATTATTCTTAAATTTTTCAGCTGCGATTTTCCCACTCTGCATTGTTCTTACTTGATAAATCCACCCATTACAACTCTGGTAGCAACCAAATACTTCCACTCAAAGTTGTATTGTTTTGTTGTGAAGGCCTCCTAGGACCCCCTTAGTCTTTTTCTTTCTTTAATCCACCCCTCACTTTTTTTTTCAATTTCCCCATAGTTTCTAACAGGACAAAAAATTTATAGTTAATATGTTAAAAAAAGGACCCAGAATTACTCAGGATACAAATACCTCTGCCTTAGTAGTCACCTTCTTTCAAAAAATATTAATTATATTCTATGACTGTGTTGGTATAAAGACAAATATATTCATATATTATTTTAGGCCATTTTCTTTGACTCAAAAGTTCTTCTTTTGCTTTTTTCCCAGTTTTTATTTAAATTCCAGTTTGCTAACATACAGTGTAATATTAGTTTCAGGAGTAGAATTTAGTGATTCATCACTTAGAAACAACACCCAGTGCTCATCACAATGAGTGCCCACATCAATACCCATCGTCCATTTAATCCATCTCCCTGCCCACCTCCCCTCCAGCAACCCTTTTTGCTTTTAATTTTAGACGACACTAAAAGATTTTGAGGTGTCCCTGAAAGTTTTGTGGACTTTTTTAAACTAGATGTTTGGGGCATGAGTTCTATAGATGAACACCAAGTCCAAGGTAATATCCTTATTGAAGAACTACCAGAAAAGTGGTGAAATCTTATATGGCCATTAAAAACATTCTTTGAGTCCCACCTCTTTGTAGGTTTCTTGCTGTCTATGTATGAATGAATTCATACAGCTCCGTCTATCGTTCATAATGCTGTTTTCCCGGGTAACCACTGAACGTGCAGATAACTAACTGTAAGAGATTAAGAACTTCAGATTATTGTACAAATGTCAAGCCTAAACTCTGACACAACCTTATCGATAATGGCTTCTAGTTATAATATATCTTTAGTAAATTTAGAAGTGGTTTTAGATCTTTTCTAGAAGTGAAAAGGACAAATAAATTTTAATAAGCAACAATATAGTAAATATTTCTCCTCCTAATGCAGACCTTTTGAAGGTGGTCTTTCTGACCCCTGTCTTGGGCACTGTCTCTCAAGGTCCTCACTTACATTCTCTGGGACTTGCCCCTCTAGCCCCCTGAGTGTACCCCCCACCCCGAGGTGGAGAGACTTGCCCACATTCTGTGTGAGCACATATATCTGCCACACTACTGTGGTCCTTCCTGCCCTGGAGTAGCCCCCCATACCTGCGCTTTGTCACTGGGCTTCTAACCTCCTTTGTGGCACCAGTGGTCCGTAGACACTGCAGATAAAACTTAGAGTTCTCACCAGTGAGAAGTTGGTTCTCATGGACAACTTCATGGGGACAACAACTTTATCTGTCATTCTGGGGGCTCAGGGATCACCTTCACCATACCGTTGAGGTATAAGCACTGAGTAAAAGAAAGACAAAACCAGCCAATGATGCTGCTGACTTGTTCCTTGACAGATTAACCAAGTGGAGATTTTATCCCCAAAGAGAGATATCCTCAGCAGCTGACCATGGCAGATAGTTCTGCAGACAGGCAAAAGAAGTGTGAAGAGATGGAGAAGTTCTTTCCTGGACCCCTTGTGGACAGTAGGGACACTCTGAACCACCTCAGTCCTGATGGCCACTGGTCTCCCTGTAGAGGGATGTGCTCTCCAGCCAAGGATGCTCTTTCACATTAGATAGCAGGGATTTAAATGAAATATTAAAAAAAAAAAACCAAGTTTATCTTGAAATGGGCAAATATTGCCACATAGTTTTATGTTTTGCCCCTGTCAGTCTTCATTTGTCCTGGGAGAATGTGTCAGTCCTGTGTGGTGAAGGTAGACCCAGTTAAGATTAAGAGTGTCTGTGATAGAAAGACAGATACCATATGGTTTCACTCTTATGTGGATCCTGAGAAACTTAACAGGAACCCATAGGGGAGGGGAAGGAAAAAAGAAAAAAAGAGGTTAGAGTGGGAGAGAGCCAAAGCATAAGAGACTGTTAAAAACTGAGAACAAACTGAGGGTTGATGGGGGGTGGGAGGGAGGAAAGGGTGGGTGATGGGTATTGAGGAGGGCACCTTTTGGGATGAGCACTGTGTGTTGTATGGAAACCAATTTGACAATAAATTTCATATAAAAAAAAAAAGAGTGTCTGTGATAGCCTGTTTTTGTTTTCTCCTAAGGTTGATTGTTTTTCGGGTTTGAATTGGTTTATCAGTATGAAAGAAACAAACCTTAAGCATTTTCAATATTGTAAAGAAGAGTACCTGTTCTTCCTTGGGTGTTGTGCTGGACTTTGTGGCCCTTGTACTAACATCCACCATACTGATGTGCCTACCCCTGCTGGGTCTCAGTGTTATGCCCTTCCTGGATCCCTCATGTGGGAGGTGATTCCTGAAGAGGGAGCTGTGCTATCTGTATTTCAGGGGAAAGTCCTATCTGTCATTTCATTTCCTCTTTTCTATTTCTAGGGCCTGGACTTCGCAGGATTTACTGCACACATGTTCGTTGGGATTTGCCTCATTCTACTGTTCTCCTTTCCACTCCTCAGACTCCTTTTCTGGAACAAAAAGCTTTATAACAGGGAGCCCAGTGAGATTGTTGGTGAGTATGAACACCTCCTCATACAGCCTTAGAGTTTACTATTATAATATTATCTTTTTCCAGAAGAAATTGCCACAGAAAGGCAGGAGTTTTCTTACATACTGAGATATGTTCCCATCTGCCTCCTGGTATGCACTGTGCTTTCAGGGGCTTTAAATCTATGGACCTCTTTAGTTTTCTGTAGAGTGAAATGTGGGAAGCAATGGCTTCTGTTTCTAGTTTGCATCCCATGACATCATTAGACCACGTGTATACAACATAAGTAGCATAGTATGGAGACTTTAGTGTTCAAATATGTCATACTTTGTGATGTGTCATAAATATGTCATAAATGTGATTACAGGGGCGCCTGGGTGGCTCAGTCGGTTAAGCGTCCGACTTCAGCTCAGGTCATGATTTCACGGTCCGTGAGTTCGAGCCCCGCATCGGGCTCTGGGCTGATGGCTCAGAGCCTGGAGCCTGCTTCCGATTCTGTGTCTCCCTCTCTCTCTGCCCCTCCCCCGCTCATGCTCTGTCTCTCTCTGCCTCAAAAATAAATAAACGTTAAAAAAATGTGATTACAAAAGTGACAACATAATCCAACACAGAGAACGATGTACCATGTCAGTCAAGAATGTATCGGCGAGGCACCAGGCAGCAGGAAGAGGGCTCATGACCATCTTATGGCTTTGCATTTTTCTCACCTAAAATTTTGGTAAATGTTTTATTGAGAACATTACTGATGAGGATATGTTAGAAGCAAGAGATTATTTGGGAAATAGCCATCCTCTCCTCAGCCAGACCAATATAGGACATTGTGCAAGTTGCCTGGGTAGCAGAGCACATCTGGGTGACAGGAGTACATTAACAAAGGTGCATTTCTTTCTCTGTAGTTTCAGATGGTGTGGTGTCCTCACAGAGCTCATAGATTGTATATTTACCTCTCTCATCCTGTTATTACTCTGTCCTTGTGTTGTACAGGACTTCAGGTTTTATCTTTAGTAAGATAACAAAATACCATTTTTGTATGAATAGGTAAGGATCCATAGGTTTTGTTACCAGCCCTCCTGCTCATCAGATGTGACTGTACTTGGCAGATTTGCCTTTCTTTCATTCATGACTTTTGTATTCAGAATTTGACAATTTTTGTTCTAGTTTCGAAAACATTATCTTATATACCCTCTCAAGAGTCATCCATATAAAACAAGCTTGTTCTTAGTAAAATGTAGTCATCCACCTCTTCCAGAGAAATGGAATGATACACAGAAATGTCTATTTTAGGAAATGCTTATTGACCAAATGCACAAAACATTGGAGTGTCCTTGTGGATGTAGAAATGTTACTTTATTTTTTTTTTAATTTTTATTTATTTTTATTTTTTATTTTTATTTTTTTATATGAAATTTATTGTCAAATTGGTGTCCATACAACACCCAGTGCTCATCCCAAAAGGTGCCCTCCTCAATACCCATCACCCACCCTCCCCTCCCTCCAACCCCCCATCAACCCTCAGTTTGTTCTCAGTTTTTAACAGTCTCTTATGCT